AAATATTAACGTGGGAGCTCCATTGCGAAAAATCACTTAAATGCGGACATGCGGACTTAATTATATTTAAGTCAATTTAAAAAATCATCAAAAAATGATTATTTGCATCCAAATAATTCGACCTAAAACATTAAACTATTTTACACTGATAAAATTATTCGCAAATTAAAAACAAATCAATGTTTTCCTTTAAAATTTTGAAAAATCTAAAGTCTATTTCATTTCTTCTTAATTGATAAAAAATATAAAAATATATCTTTCAGTTTTAAAAATTGAATCAATAAATATACATTCAAAAATTGATCTTACTGAAAGAATAAAATTAATTCGGATAATAATACAATATATTTGAATATATTATTGTCAAAAACGTATTTTCTTTCTTTTTGAATGATCTTTTATTTTATATGATTAATTCATGTTTAAGGTTTAACTATATAAAATATAAACGTAAATTTAATTTAACGTGTGAGTTCAGAGGTGAAAAATAACTTCACGAATATATATCATTATATTATATTATTTTAATTTGAAAATAATTACGTATTATACTTTTTAATTATATAAAATTAAAAATTTTACTTTATGAATATTTATTTATGTTTTTTTCTTTCTGAATTTTTTATTAAAAATATATTTTCTGGATAACAACACAATATCTATAAGAATTATGCTTTTTACTTTATTTTTAAATATATATTTAGATTATGGATAATTCTTATCATTATTATTAATTTAAATCATTTATCAAATAAAATAAGTGTTAAATTCATTTTTATTTTTAGCTGATTTATATATTATTTTCATTGAGGGTATAAACGATATTAACCACTCTAACTTTTAATGTGAGAGCTCCGCTTTATAAATATTTATTTATGTTTTTTTTTTGAATTTTTTATTAAAAATATATTTTCCGGATAACAACACAATATCTATAAGAATTATCTTTTTATTTTATTTTAAATATATATTTAGATTATGGATAATTCTTATCATTATTACTAATTTAAATCATTTATCTAATCAAATAAGTGTTAAATTCGTTTTTATTTTTAGTTGATTTATATATTATTTTCATTAAGGGTATAAACGATATTAACCATTCTAACTTTTAACGTGAGAGCTCCGTTGCGAAAAATCACTTCACAAATAATAGTATAGATGGATAATTCTTATCATTATTATTAATTTAAATCATTTATCTAATAAAATTAGTGTTAAATTCATTTTTATTTTTAGCTGATTGATATATTATTTTCATTAAGGGTATAAACCATATTAACCACTCTAACTTTTAACGTGAGAGCTCTGCTTTATGAATATTTTTTTATGTTTTTTTCTTTTTGAATTTTTTATTAAAATATATTTTCCGGATAACAACACAATATCTATAAGAATTATCTTTTTTTATTTTATTTTTAAATATATATTTAGATTATGGATAATTCTTATCATTATTATTAATTTAAATCATTTATCTAATCAAATAAGTGTTAAATTTGTTTTTATTTTTAGCTGATTTATATATTATTTTCATTAAGGGTATAAACGATATTAACCACTCTAACTTTTAACGTGAGAGCTCCGTTGCGAAAAATCACTTCGCAAATAATAGTATAGATGGATAATTTTTATCATTATTATTAATTTAAATCATTTATCTAATAAAATAAGTGTTAAATTCATTTTTATTTTTAGCTGATTTATATATTATTTTCATTGAGGGTATAAACGATATTAACCACTCTAACTTTTAACGTGAGAGCTCCGCTTTATGAATATTTATTTCTGTTTTTTTCTTTTTGAATTTTTTATTAAAATATATTTTCCGGATAACAACACAATATCTATAAGAATTATCTTTTTTATTTTATTTTTAAATGTATATTTAGATTATGGATAATTCTTATCATTATTATTAATTTAAATTATTTATCTAATCAAATACGTGTTAAATTCGTTTTTATTTTTAGCTGATTTATATATTATTTTCATTAAGGGTATAAACGATATTGACCACTCTAACTTTTAACGTGAGAGCTCCGTTGCGAAAAATCACTTCGCAAATAATAGTATAGATGGATAATTCTTATCATTATTATTAATTTAAATCATTTATCTAATAAAATAAGTGTTAAATTCATTTTTATTTTTAGCTGATTTATATATTATTTTCATTGAGGGTATAAACGATATTAACCACTCTAACTTTTAACGTGAGAGCTCCGCTTTATGAATATTTATTTATGTTTTTTTTCTTTTTGAATTTTTTATTAAAAATATATTTTCCGGATAACAACACAATATCTATAAGAATTATCCTTTTTATTTTATTTTTAAATATATATTTAGATTATGGATAATTCTTATCATTATTACTAATTTAAATCATTTATCTAATCAAATAAGTGTTAAATTCGTTTTTATTTGTAGCTGATTTATATATTATTTTCATTAAGGGTATAAACGATATTAACCACTCTAACTTTTAACGTGAGAGCTTCGTTGCGAAAAATCACTTCGCAAATAATTGTATAGATATGCAAATATAAATATTGTAATATTCACAATTTTTATCTGTGAGAAAACTATGTTTTAATTATGTGAAGATGATTTTTTCCTAAAACTGGCATTTTTCTTCAATAGTACATCTTTATATGCATTCTTTTTTGAAATTGAAGAAATTTTGATTTATTAGAAAATGCGAAGATAAATAACTAATTCATTGTAACAGAGAAAATATTTAAGTTAGATACCCATCATGACAATCTAATACTGATAATTGCTATCTTTAAATATAAATGTGAATTTGGCAGGTACCTGAGAAATATTATGATAAACCAACCAATTCATCGTGCCGTATCATATGTTTAAGTAATAATTATTTTGGTACCATCTTATTGCTCTAGAATCCCCAAGACTGCAACAGATGGCTACTGTTGCCAGTAAAGCTCAAGCTCAGCAGGTGGTGGACAACAGATTGATGAAAATGCAGCTCAAACATTTAAATTCCTCTACAACAGCGCCAGAAAATGAACCTTCAATTCAAGAAAGACCTTTATTATTCAATGGACACCAATATCACCAACAGTGACTGGAATAAATAGCATTGCTCTAAAATGAAAAAGAGACGTACATTTTTTGGTTGAGCTTGCACCGGTCACATCATCTTCTAGACCACCGTTGCCTTCCTGATAAAACCAAGACAGACACTGTTATTTTGACAGTATTGAAAAGCGGTACCCAATGTAGTAACAAACTTACATGGACAAAGTCAGCGACTGGAAGACCTGACGCTTATCGGAGATGCATGAAACTGTGAAGGTCTGATGCTTCACAGTGTATTTGAAACTGGTCATGCTGAGCTGGAATGTTTATGTCTCACCAACAATGTCGGTACAAAACATAGGAGCTGACTATCTTCTAGGTTCTCAACACCTCGTCAGCCTCATCAGCAACACTTATCTCCACATGTATCTAGATTCAAGCCTTCTAAATCTATAGACATAAACAAAATAATCTTACAATAACAAACAAAAGGAAAATTTTATAGAACAAAACTATAATCATTTAAACTCGATCTGTCTAAATCAATGAACATACTCAAATCATCTTTCATCAGCGAATAAAAACCAGATCAATAAACAGAACCAAAATTATTAAAAGAAGTCTCAAGAGTTGCATATACGTAACGTATGCATTTATACCTTATTTGCATCAAAAATAGGAGGGAGTAATGGTAGGGTCATCATCACCAGCACGCTTTAACTCTTACAACTCCTTAAACTTCAACCATGGATTCACCCACACTTTTCTTCATAAAGCTTCTTTCCCAGCATCAATCTCCTAGGTCAGATGATGCATCATTCCTTCTAAAACTTGTTCTTCCGCCTTCACCACCCACGCAAACTTGAACAATGCATTCAAAGTTAGAGAGATTTAACAGATTTTTTTTTGAGAAAGTAGGATTTGAACCTCGACTAACCTTCTTTATACATTATACATAGACTGGAGCCGAGAAATAAGTTTCTAGTGCTTTTAGGAATTGTAAAGATGATGGTGAAGGGATGAAGCCTCACTTTTTATTGGTAGAGATGATGTTGTGGGTTGAAGGAGTAAAGATGGTTGAAGGAGTAAAGATGGGTTTATTCACGACGAATCAATGCATCTAGTAACGTATGAGAGGAGAAGAATCTCAGAAGAAACGACATGGAGAACGCTCGATCAAGATATGCCTTCCAAATATTCGTCTCACACAAACCCATGAAAATCCATTGTTGGTGTTCATCGAGGAAGACGAAGATGGACCCTAAGTCTGCCAGTAATGAACGGGCTTATCTTTAGTTAACTTTATAAGTTCAAAAAAATTAATCAAAGCCCACTATTTAATTACTCGTAAAACCCACAATAAACAAACAAAACTAACTATATTTTTCTACAACAGGACACGTTAATATGTGGTTTCACTAATTACTGACGTGGCGGAGGGAGAAGTGATGAAACTCTTCTTTATATATAAAGATTATTATCAAAACAGTGTAGTAGTGATATATGTTAAAATTATACATAGTCAAATACACATATACACGGTCGAGCATTATAATACGGTTTGACTGGCATTTGGAGGATTGATCCGTGGATTTTTGAGTTCACGGATTAATTTGCAAAAAAAAATCACATTGAGGCAGAAAACCCTATAAAAATTTAGTAAAAACAATAAAGGATTACAAACTGAAAAATACAAAATACAAAATACAGAAAAATATTTATGAAAAGTATAGAATTTATAATCTCGATCTAGATATTCTAGACCAATAATAGGTCAATGTAGTTTTCCACCTCCACATCTGCTATAGAAAGTTGTCAAAAAAATCTACTGTAGAAAATATAGAAAAGTAAATAACAAAGATATAACTATCAACAATGAAACTATTATATAGTTTTGAGCTATATATATATTCCAACACTTAACTTTACGGGTTTTGATAAGAAAGGAAGAGATGGCGAAGGAGAGCAAAACAACAGCAGGATTAGGGGTTATGCTAGACGATGAATACAAGACTTCCATGGAGGCCAAGGAAGTTAAGAAAGAGACTTGTGTTATCTGTTTGGACGAAGACATAGGTTCTGATGTCATGTTTGCAGTTGATAAATGTGGTCATTGGTTTTGCATTAACTGTGTCAAACAGCATATAGAGGTGAAGCTGCTTGACGGAACGACCCCGAGTTGTCTTCAGCATCGATGCAAGTCTCAGCTATCTATAGATAGATGTGACAAACTTTTGACTCCAAAACTGAGTTTAATGTGGAAACAAAGGATTAGAGAGGACTCAACTCCATTTACGGAGAGATTTTACTGTCCAAACCCAAGATGCTCATATCTAATGTCCAAAACCGAGCTTTCTACTACATGTTCTGAATCTAGTGGATTTAGGACATGCTTCAAATGCAGTGGCTCCTTCTGTGTCAAATGCAAAGTTTCATGGCATCATAGGCTATAGTGTAGCGATTATAAGAAGTCGTGTACTGCTCGACATGATGATGATGCAAGGCTCAAATCTCTGGCAAGTGGTTATAGATGGCGTCAATGTGGCAAGTGCCAACAGATGATTGAACGTTCTGTCGGATGCGGCCGCATCAAATGCAGGTACGATCTCTTAGGGAGCTTCTTTGAAGCAAACAATCCTATCTCATTTTGATTATATTTTATGCATATATATGATTTGTTTTCATACCTTTTTTTCTTTTTTTAGGTGTGGACATGTTTTCTGTTACGACTGTGGAGCCGACTGGTACAGCTTGGCCCACAAAAGTTGCAAATCTCTGTTGGAACATAATGCTCAAGTGGTTGTTTTTGTGGTCTTCTATTTTGGCTGTTTCTTTGCTCTGTCTACATTACTTGCCTTAGTTAAAGAGTGTAACAATAGCTAACAATCTCGTACTTGGTAATTTAATATTTTTGATTGGTTAGAAATTGGAATACATATCTAAAAGACAGTTTTAAGATCAACTACCTCTCACCTTGGCGTCTTTGGTTTAACTCTTCTTCTTCTGCTGTTTAACAAAACCGTTATCGGTCATACAAGAAACAAGAGATTATTATAGCACAAAGTTCCTCGTAGGGTTAGTGCTAAAACCGGGAAAATGTAGAGGAAAAGATATTTACATTATCTTTGGCACAAGCTCATGTCCCATACCATGCTCCTTCATGGTTATCTCCAATTCATCCTTTTATGTGCCTATAGTATAAACAAGCCAATTCACATCTCTCAACATTTTTCAAAACCTTCCCTTATCACAAGCCAATTGTTTCAATAACTTACCCACTGTTGTCTTTATCTGTGTCTATGCATTGTCGCTGAAATAAACTCGATCCACATCAGCTTGAAAAATAATGTATTATATATCATTATGTTCTGGTTTCCCCTTTATGATATAACTCACGGCTTCCATGAGTTGCTTAACTTCAGCCTCAGAGGGTTTAGTTTTAAACTTCTTCATAAGTTATTTACCCGATTTCCTCGGAATCTATACCCTCACACGTATGGTTTTAGGGCAGACCCCTCTTTCATAATGAAAAGGAGTCACTCTTTTCAATTAATCAATGTAATTCTAAGATATTTTACATAATCAATTATACAGAATTTATAAGAAAAGATAATATATAAAATAATTACTGTTTTCTATGTCTTCTTCACAACGATTACGAACAATTAATACGAACGTTGGAACAAAAAGGATTTAATTTGGTTACAAAGAGCCAAGACGTGACAGTAATATAAAAACTCAGTTTTTAAAGAGAAGAAATAACATTTTTGAGGGCAGTATCAGTTGATTAAATTACTCGCGCCTTCCGTTTTCGCCGGTTTAACATTTAACTTTTTGATCAATGAAACGGAAGACGTTTCCCTTGTGGCTGTGTAGTACCGCTTCTCATCATTGCACAGAACTCCTCAAAGTTTATTCTTCCATCCTGTAACATAGTAGTCGTGTCAATACAAGGTTTCAAGAACCGATTTAATGATTTAATGTGTCTTACATTGTCGGTATCAACTTCAGATATAACTTCTTTGATGCTAGCTTCATCTCCCATTCCATACTCCTTCATGGCACTTTCCAACTCATCCCTGGTTATGTGCCTGTTGTATATCATAACCAAGATAACACCATTAACAATACCTCATGGTAACTAGTAACTACACATTCAGACATTGATTTGTAAGCTCACCCGCTGTTGTCTTTATCAAAATGTTGGAATGCTTTGTATACATGCTCATCTCGATCAAGTTTGTATCGATGCATTGTCGCAGAGATAAACTCATAGTAGTCGATTGTTCCATTACCATCCACATCAGCCTGCAAAGGTTATATACAATCATTATGTGGAAAGTAAAAATATAAGATGCTGAAGACAATAACTCACAGCTTCCATGAGTTGCTTCACTTCAGTTTCAGAGAGTTTAGAACCAAGCCTAGTTAGCCCTGTCTTCAGTTCTTCGTATGTGATTGTACCGCTTTTGTCGGTATCCATATTCGCAAACATGGTTTTGAGACCTTTGATTTCCTCTTCTGATAGACTCTCCGCTATAACCTGCAAACCAATCACAACAACAACTGATTAATACAAGACAATAAACAAGATGCACAATTAGTATAAAGAAAGCTGTTTCGAAACAAAATTTGAGATAGTTAATTACCTTAAGGGCTAGCTTCTTAAGCTTGTTCATAGCTCGGAACTGCTTCATACGAGATAATACAGCACTATCAATAGGCTTGTCTGGTGCTTCTCCGCCCTTGATCCAAGGATGTTCTATAAAACCATAAGGATTGCTACATATTAGTTAAGCATATAACTAGCTAGCAGAACCATAAACTCAAAGACAAGACACGTGCAAGACAAGCCTCCAGCATTCGCCACTTTTTAAGACTTAAACAACAAACTTCCTTACCTTGTCCTGGAGGCGAGCCTACTACAAATGTATAGGGCATGCCTTGTTATATTTGAAAACAAATGAGTATTCAGAATCTCTTACCAAGAACCTGTGCAGCAGTGATTCGTCTCCTGGGGTCTTTGGTAAGCATCTTCCTGACGAGATCTTTGGCACTCTCAGATATAGAAGGCCATGGCTGGCTTTCAAAGTCAATCTCACCTTTTACAACCTCATCGAATATTCCTTTCTCATTTTCTACAATACACAACATATATTAATTACAGATCAAACCTCAAGAAGAAAACTATCAAGGAATCTGATTAGCTTATAAGGTTTTCTTTTACCAGCCCAAAAAGGAGGTACACCACTGAGTAGGATGTACAGGATAACTCCAGCACTCCAAATGTCAATTTCCTTTCCATAACTTCGCCGTAATACTTCAGGAGCCACGTAGTAAGCACTCCCAACTATATCCCGGTAAACTTTTCCTGTGAAATTATTGGTTCATTGTCACGGAAATCAGTATAAGGATCAAACGAACTAAAAGGCATACCACACAGAACACAATCTGTATAAGTAGATGCCAAAAAAAAAAAAAAAACAGAAATTTTCGATACTAAGTAGTCCTGTGAAAGGCTATATCTCGAGTTTTGTCTCTACACGTTGGAATAAGAAGTGACCATGTTTGCTCACATATGAACCAAGACAAAAACATTCGTATAGAAAAAGTCATACACTGGAATACCAAAGCTATCAAATGTACTTTAGTTTCATACTAATTCACTCAAAAATTAATGTACTAAGAATATGTCTAAAAAAACCTGAACTATCTATGCATTGAAACATAGATCACCACTTATGCTCAACGATTTACTAGTGACGAAAAAGGATAGTCTTCTTAAAGATTTAAATCATATGACATACCAAATCTATAACTATCAAACTATTAAAAAATAAACTTTCAAATAATAAAGACTCATTCAAAGATCAATGTACTAAATAATGTCTAAAAATTTTAGGCATTTAACATGACAATCCATAACTACCAAAACTCCTAAAGAAAAAAAAAAGGGAATCTTTTTAAAGTCACCTTCTTCAATGAAGACAGACAAGCCAAAATCAGTAGCCTTAAGCATAGCATTCTCCTCTTTACTCGACAACAAGAAATTCTCAGGCTTGAGATCTCGATGAACGACACCCATAAAATGACAAATCTGAACAACATTGACAATAGACCTAATAATCGCAGCAGCAGCTCTCTCGGAGTAATGCCCCTGAGCTATAATCCTATCAAACAACTCCCCACCAGCACACAACTCCATCACCAAATGCACAGACTGTCTATCCTCATAAGCACCTTTGATCTCAACAATATTAGCTTGTCCCGACAAGTACTGCATTATCTGAATCTCTCTCTTCACATCCTCCTTGTCCTGCTTGCTGATCAGCTTCCTCTTCAAGATCGACTTGCAAGCGTATGTGTTCCCCGTCGAGATCTCCCTGCACCTATACGTTATCCCGAACTGCCCCCGGCCCAACTCTTTGCCCAAGCTGTAGAATTTTCTGATGTCCTCGAAGGGCTTGCCTAGTATGGTGTCCGGATCTCGGACAGGTGGTGGAGTTGAAATCTGGTGAGTCGTGGGGTTTGGTGGAGTTTGGGGTTTCGGGACGACGTGGGTTGGTGCTGGAGTGATCGGAGTTTGGGGCTTTGCGGAGGTTTCTTCTTGCCGGTGTTTACTGCTGAGGCAACCCATTGAAGGAGACAGACAGATCGGGAAAGTGTTAGAGATTGTGATGGAAAGGAAACAACGTTTTGATGAGTTGTATATCTTTGACTGTTTGGAAATAAATGTCTTTTGTCAAATTTCGCTGAAATTACTCCGAGAATATATCTTTAGAATTAAATTTTTAAGTTTTTTTTTTTTTTTTAAATGTACAAGACGATGGAGAAGAAACGGATCTTTCCATATACGCAGTTACCTTATAATGATTTATCGGTTATAACTAATTAGTGTCAGAAAAATGAATTATCCAAAAATATTTTAAATTGTGAATATTCTGGTTTGGCCTAAATCTTGCCATATTTAAACCAAAACATTTTGTTTCAGTGTTCTCGTTTTTTCTTTAAATACTACTGAATTTATTTGGTTTTGATTAGATTTTCTTTTTACTTTTGTTACAAGTTGGATACATTTTTAAGCGAAAAAAATTTAGATAAATTTGGTTAATTTTGATTAGATTAGTAAATTCTCTTCGCTGTGTTGAAAAAGAAAAATCTCTTCAAAATGTAATTATTTTGTTAGTTCGGTTAATAAAACATCTGATTAGAATTGGTAGGATTTGGTTATACATTATTCTTTTAAAAACATTCGAATTATTAACTAAATTAAACGGAACCGATAAGATTTTTTTTTTTAATTTACCAGTCGAGCTAAATTCTTAACAGAAAAATTAAACTATAAAAAATTACTTTTGTTTTGATTCAACTTATTTGGTTCTTTTTTCTTTTTTTAAAAAAAACTCTAACTTATTTGGTTCAGTTTGTCTGATTTGGAAACAATCTCGTACAT